AAAAAAAAAAAGCAAGTTCTGGTTTGTTTCTTACATTATTTTTGATTATTATTATAGAATGCTTCATGAATTTGCATGTCATTCTTTTTGTTTGTTTTTTGAGATGGAGTCTCTTTCTGTCACCCAGGCTGGAGTGCAGTGGCAGGATCATGGCTCACTGCAACCTTTGCCTCCCAAGTTCAAGCAATTCTTATGCCTCAGCTTCTAAAGTAGCTGTGTGCCACCACGGCACATGCCTGTAATTTTTGTATTTTTAGTAGGGATGACATCTCACCATTTTGGCCAGGCTGGTCTCAAATTCCTGACCTCAAGTGATCTGCCCGAGTCAGCCTCCCAAAGTGCTGGGATTACAGGCATGAGCCACTGCACCCCACCTGCGCCAGCGTGTCAGCCTGGCACAGGGCCATGCTGATCTTCTCTGTATCGCTACAATTTTTAGTATATGTGCTGTGGAAGGAGTGCAGCAAGCTCTGGTTACTTTCTAACAAGTTCTCCAGTGATGTCAAAGCTGCTGGTGTGTGGCCGACACTTAGTGGCATGGGAGTATACTATCTGACTTTTAAACCCATCTTTTTTGTTTTGTTTTGTTTTGTTTTTGAGACAGTGTCTTGCTCTGTCACTCAGGCTGGAGTATGTGGCATGATCACAGCTCACTGCAGCCTCGACCTCCTGGGCTCAAGCAATCCTGCCTCAGCCTCTCAGTAGCTGGGACTATAGACACACACCACCATAGCTGGCTAATTTGTTTGTTTTTTAGTAGAGACGAGGACTCATTATGTTGCCCAGGCTGGTCTTGATTACTTGTAAAACCACCTAAGTAGAGTCTGCATTTTTTCATCAGATTTTTTTTTATATCTTTATATTAGGTTAAATAGGTGATAGTTTTGTTATAAAATAGAGTCTCTTTTAGAATTGGATTTAATCCGAAGTGTATATTGTACCAATAAACACTTTTTGAGTGGATAGCTTTTTAAGTCACTCAGAATGATTGTCTCTAAACCAATCAAATGACACCTTACACTATAACTAGTGGTATAGCTATACCTTACTTAGCAACAATTTTGAACCTTTTTTTCTGTCATTTGCTGCTTTTATTTAAAGTATTCTAGGTTAGTGCTGCTTTTTCTTGACTTCAGGAGAGACCCTTGAATCTTCTCTTTCATTATCTCAGAGAATACTTGTGTTCTTTCCATCAGTTCACTTCCGGAAGATTTATGGCTCTTATCCAGCTGAAGATATCCTTTTCCATATTTGCATCTTAGGGTTTGGAAGTTCCTTGCTAACATAGCTTGCTCTGTGAAAACAAACTATTAGTCTGCTCTGGCTGCCATAACAAAGTAGTACAGCACTAGTGGCTTAAATGACCGAAGTTTGCTGTCTCACAGTTCTGGAGGCTGCCAGCAGGAATCCTGAGGTCAGGGAGTCAGCGGGGGCTGGTTCTTTCTAAGGGCTGGAGGAGGAGTGCTCCAGGCCCACCTTCTCACTGCTGGGGGTGCTGGCAGTCTTTGGCTTCCATACCTTGTTATACATTACCGTGGTCTCCGCCTTTGTCTGCACGTGGCCTTTTCCCTGTGTGTGTCTGTGTGCACATTTACCTTTTTATAGAGATGCAGTCCTACTGTGTTCGGCCCCACCCTGCTCCATTATGGCCTTGTCTTAAGTAATTATATCTACAGCAGCCTTGTTTCCAAATGCAGTCACATTCTGAGGTACCACAGTTCAGTGTCAACATGAGAATTTGGGGGTTACACAACTGAATCGTAACACAAACCATGAATTCTTAGCATCTTAGGAATTAGCCGTAGAAGAGACACAGGAGCCACCCCCTCCAGTCACTGCTCCAGCGGCTCTGGTTTTGTTGTAGTTCAGTAGAGAGCATGTATGCTCTGAAAAAAGCACTTCACTTGTCCTCGGTATCCACAGGGGTTGCTTCCTGGACCCCCTAAGACACCAAAACGCACAGATACCCAAGTCCCTTGTAAAAAAACAAAATGGTATAGCATTTCTATATAATCTATACACATCCTCCCGTGTACTTTAAATCATCTCTAGATGACTTGTAATACCTAATAATGCCCATAGTTGATATATTGTATTGTTTTTAATATCTATGTCATTTTTATTGTTGTACTGTTACTTTTTTATTGTTTGGGGTTTTTTCCTGAATATTTTGATCCATGGACATGGAACCCACAGATGCCAGGGCCAGCTGTAACCTGGGGAAGTCACTTGATGGTGGTGGGTAGTGTTGCGGACACTGTCTTGCTGGACTTTGTCCTGCCGTAAGCTCTCTGACGTGACCCTCTTTGTTCCTTTAGGAGACGTTGATCCAGCAGCACGTGTCATTTCATTAGGTCCTGTATCTGATGTTGTGGATAGTGGAGTCCTCCAGCAATTGAATGAGAGCAGTGGATACATCTCAGCAGGTCGGTCTAGAGAGTTGCGAATCTAAACCTGGGACAGGCTGGGGCCAGGAGGCAGAAACACCAGCCTCTGCCAACACCGGAACAAGCCGACGCTTCCAGACAAGGCAGAAAAGGCCTTTTGTAATGGAAATCACTCGAGGGTTCATCTTCTCTTGAGAATGGCAGTCAAGAAATGAGATGGTTCACTTGACTACTGAGCAGTTATACCAAGGAGAGCATCAAGGAGATGACTGAGCCAGAGATGAAACGGGTTGTGATGGTAATGGTGTGGGGGAAATGAACTTGAGCTTTAAACTTGATTTGAGTTTCAGTGTCTCTGAATTGAACATCCCATGTTGGAAGAAGATACATTTGGGGGCTCCAGGACTACAGTAGAAAAGTGTAGAGCAAGCAGGAAAATCTTCTAGTAAAACCTTACGTGCAGGACAACAAAATGATGAAAGATATCTAAATACCAGATCATCCACCAGGAAGGCTTTTGTTTAGGAATTTGTATCAAGAGGAACAAAGGATGAGGGAGAAAAATCCGTTTATCCATCAGAGTCAGTGATATAAAATGGCCTATTAGGGTAAAAGAAAAATGTGAAGACTGTTTTAGTATACAGAGAGCATTAATTCAGATGGCTTAGAAACGTGGTACCAGCCCAAGAACAGAGATCTAGTTGAGCCCATTGTAAGTATCATTGAAAACAAAACATGCCAGTCAGCATGTCACAGGGAACGAACGAAGGACAGCAAGAAGTGGATCAGAATATTTTGTTGACCTTCATGGGTTTACAGCCTCTGTCTCTAAACAAAATATGGAAACAAGTCGAGCTTTTATTTTGCTTTTGTTTTTGTTTTGTTTCGTTTTGTTTTCCCCCCACTAAATAGAAATGAGGGTTCTTAGTCTGTTTCTGACAATCTGTTAATTTCTTAGGATAGTTGTCTTTCGTTTGCTTTCCAGTAGGCATAGTACATTTAGTTGAAGAGCACATCTGTATGCTACAACTTGATTACATCTTTTTTTCTAGCTATTTTGCATTTTTTCTTTTACCATGTTTCAGTTTCTGCATGTAGATTTAAATAAGAAACAAAACTTGTAAAGTTGTAACATTTCACATGGAAATGCTGCCCAATCTTCACCAGCTTCAGAAATCTGACCTTTGCCGATGCTGCAATAAAGTGTTGTAATTTAGATTTGGCATGGTGGTGTTTGATTTGGTTTGGGTTTTGGGAACCTATTGAGTGGGCACATTGGTATCTTGCAGTGTCATCTTTGTGCTCTAGAATATATGCTCAGATGATCCATGTTGCTTTCACCTTCAGGGTTCCATCTCCGCATGACTTTTCTCAGGTGCCAGAATTAATGTACCTTTGGGGCCAATGGGGAAAAAAAAGTAGCCTACACAGACCAACAGAAGGCACATTTTTAGAATAGGCTGAGTACTGGTGAAGATGGGAGCTGGGGCAGCATGGTTCAGCCTGGGACAGCGTTTGTGATTTGGGTGGGTAGAGCCTGTGCGAAGCAGGTGACTCACAAAGGAATAGCAAGAACCATTCAACATCTCTTGCTAGGTGTTCATAAAAAGGCTGATTTACACACTCCAAACGGAGTTACCGTAATCACCATTGCTAAAATTCAGTTCAGAGTAATTATTGGAAAAAAAAAAAAAAGATTTTCTTAAAGGAAAAACTTTACAAATTTCACTTACGGGAAGCTTATTGTCCAACCCTTATCATTGTACTGTTACTCACTATTCTTTTGTTGGGTTTACAAGTTTTATCATTTTTATATTATTTCTAGGTGTTAGATTACTTATTTACTTATTTATTTTTTGAGACAGAGACCTGTTCTGTCACCCAAGCTGGAGTGCAGTGGCATGATCTCAGCTCACTGCAACCTCCATCTCCTGGCTTCAAGCAATTCTCCTGCCTTCAAGCGATTCTCCTGCCTCAAGCCTCCCAAGTAGTGGGATTAGAGGCATTCGTCACCATGCCCGGCTGATTTTTGTGTTTTTAGTAGAGACAGGTTTTCTTTCTTTCTTTTTTTTTTTTGAGATGGAGTCTTGCTCTGTAGCCCAGGCTGTAGTACAGTGGCGTGATCTCGGCTCACTGCAACCTCTGCTTCCTGTGTCCTGGTTCAAGCAATTCTGCCTCAGTCTCCCAAGTAGCCGGGATTACAGGCAGGCACCACCATGCCCAGCTAATTTTTGTATTTTAAGTAGAGACAGGGTTTCACCATGTTGGCCAGGCTGGTCTTGAACTCCTGACCTCATGATCTGCCCACCTCGGCCTCCCAAAGTGTTGGGATTACAGGCGTGAGCCACCATGCCCAGCCAGTAGAGACAGGTTTTCACCATGTTGGCGAGGCAGGTCTCGAACCGCTGACCTCAAGTAATCACCACCTTGGTCTCCCAGAGTGTTAGAATTACAGGCGTGAGCCACTGTGCCCAGCCTGTTAGATTATTTATTACAGGGAGTCAGGATAATTCTAAATTCATCCTTTATACTTCATGTCATACACAAGGCAGACTATGAAAATCAGCTGTTTGGTGATAATTTACCTCTATTCACCTTTCATCTAGAAAGAATAAAGTCACTAGCACGTGTAATATGTTTGGGAACCAGAAAGTTGGCCAAATTAGATTCTTCACAACATTGCATCTTCAGTTTGAAAGGACAAGCCCCCTGAATTTTAGAAATTTTTATGATTCTCATAACTGTCAGTTTTTTGGGCCTCCTTTTTACCCCTGTGATCAGCAGAGGTAAGCAGGTGTTAACACATCTGGCTGTCTTCCTTTGAACCATTGATTCCTTTTCAGGAAGTGATAAGCTGTAGGCTTCCCGGCCGCCTCAGGATCTGACTCAAGGTCATCCCCTCACTTCCCTGTGGGAGCCCCTGTGGGAGCCCCACAGGTCCTTAGACATTCCCCCTTTACACAGCTCCTGCAGACCTGAGCTGTGCCAAACCAGGCCCGACAGAGGATGCAGATGGTACACAGTGGCCAGGAGAGCCCAGCAAGGATCACATGAGAAAACTGAACACCCAAACAGAAGTCAGGCGTCAAAACACAAAAGAGGAGAACCTCTCAGAGCAAAGCCCTGAGAAGCTCAGTACAGTCTTAACCCTGGAGCACTGAGAAGGTTCGGCCTGGAAGAAACACTCATTTTATAGTCAAGGAATCATGCTGAGAGTTGGGTTAATGCCATTTGGTACAGTAGATTCAGTAATTGATGGTTTCAGGATTTTTATGATGAGCAGAAATAACCTCATTATAGGAAAGAAATACAGTTGACCCTCAATGTGGCAGTTAGGGGTGCTGACCCCCCATGCATTAAAAAGTTCACATATAACTTTTTTGTGTGAGATAGAGTTTTACTCTCCCCCGGGGTGGAGTGCAGTGGTGTGATCTCAGCTCACTGTAACCTCCACCTCCCAGGTTCAGGTGATTCTCCTGCCTCAGCCTCCCAAGTAGCTGGGATTAGGGGTACCTGCCAGCTTGCCTGGCCAATTTTTGTATTTTTAGTAGAGACAGGGTTTCACCATGTTGGCCAGGCTGGTCTCGAACTCCTGACCTCAAGTGATCCACCCGCCTTGGTCTCCCAAAGTGCTGGGAGTACAGGCATGAGCCACCGAGCCCAGCCTGCATATCACTTTTTTTTTTCTGAGACAAAGTGTCACTCTGTCGCCAGGCTGGAGTGCGGTAGCACAATCTCTGCTCACTGCAGTCTTTGCCTCCTGGGTTCAAGCGATTATCCTGCCTCAGCCTTCCAAGTAGCTGGGACTACAGGCACGCACCGCCATGGCCAGCTAATTTTCGTATTGTTAGTAGAGACAGGATTTCACCATGTTGGCCACGATGGTCTCGATCTTTTGACCTGGTGATCTGCTTGCCTTGGCCTCCCGAAGTGCTGGGCTTACAGACGTGAGCCACTGCATCTGGCCTCCATGTAATTTTTGACTCCCCACAAACTTTACTAATATAGCCTAGTGTTGACTGGAAGCCTTAGCAAGATCATAAGTAGTCACTTAACATGTTTTGTATGTTATATGTATTATGTATTTTATTCTTACAATAAAGTAAGCTAAGGATATTATTATTAAGAAAATCGTGGGCCAGACGTGGTGGCTCATGCTATGATCCCAGCATTTTGGAGCCTGAGGCGGGAAGGCCATTTGAGCCATGGAGGTTACGGCTGCAGTGAACAGACTGTGCCGCTGCACTCCAGCCTGGGCAACAGAGAGCGAGCCTGTCTATAAATAAATAGAAAACCAGAAGGAAGAGAAAATATTTTTACTATTAAGTGGAAGTGGATCGTGATAAAAGTCTTCATCCTCCTTGCCTTCACATTGAGTAGGTGAGGAGCAGTTGGTCTTGCTGTCTCAGGGTGGCAGAGATGGAAGAAAATCCATGTAGAAGTGGACCATGCAGTTCAAACCTGTGTTATTCAAGAGTCAACTGTAGTCCCAGAGTGGTGAAGCCTACCGTGGAGAGGTGAGACCTCAGATTTCCTACTCCAACCGTATCATATAATACCTTCATGATACTCAGAGGGAAAAACTCAAGAGATTGTTTGGAAAAGGCAGAGATGCAACATGTTTTAGGTTCCCTTCTAAAATTGTTTTAAAGTTTTTATATCTTCAGAGGTAAACTTTCAGCGATTAGGAGCCCAATGTGTTCTGTAGATTTTTTTGGTGGTGGTTTTGTTTTGAGACAGAGTCTCACTCGGTTGCCCAGGCTGGAGTGCGGTGGCGTGATCTCAGCTCACTGCAACTTCTGCCTCCCTGGTTCAAGCAATTTTCCCACCTCAGCCTCCCAAGTAGCTGGGATTATAGGTGTGCACCACCATGCCCAGCTAATTTTTGTGTTCTTGGTAGAGATGGGGTTTCTCCATGTTGGCCAGGATAGTCTCGAACTCCTGACTAATAATTTGTGTTTTTGGTAGAGATGAGGTTTCTCCATGTTGGCCAGGCTAGTCTCGAACTCTGGACATAAGTGCTCTGCCCGCCTTGGCCTCCCAAAGTGTTGGGATTACAGGCGTGAGCCACTGTGCCCAGCACCCAATCTGTTTTTTAATTGCAAATGGAAGGTATACAATTTGAATTTGCTTAAATGCAACGGAGATTATTATTATTTAAAGACGGGGTTTCACCATGTTGGTCAGGCTGGCCTTGAACTCCCAACCTCAGGTGATCCACCCACTTTGGCTTCCAAAGCAATGGAGATTATTATAAGGATCCGAAGGTATAAAGCCAAGCACAAGAATTACAGCTGGGCTTTAGCAATGATGCACTCTCAAAAACATATTCTTTCTATTCCTCAGCCCCATTCTTCCTCAGTATTAGCCATAACAAAATACCACGGACTGGGTCATTTCAACCACAGAAGTGTCTTGTCCCATTCTTCAGGAGGCTGGAAGTCCAAGATGAAGGTGAGTGTCAGCAGGTTTGGTTTCTCCTGAGGCCAAAGCCTCTCCTTGGCCTGCACATGGCCGTTCTCGCTGTGACCTTGTGTGTTCATTCTTTTGTATGCGGCATCCCTGGTGTCTCTTCCACTGCTTACAAGGGCACCAATCTGATCTGAGTTACTGGAGGTTAGGACTTCAGCATATGAGCTGGGGAGGAAGGGTGATGGGCCAACTCAGTTCAGCCCGTAACAGTCATTGTCACTTTGCTGCAAACCGCCTGAGTTTTACGTCTTGAAAAGTGCAGACACAGGCTGGGCATGGTGGCTCACCCCTGTAATCCCAGCACTTTGGGAAGCCAAGGCAGGCGGATCATGAGGTGAGGAGATCGAAACCATCCTGGATGACATGGCAAAACCCTGTCTCTACTAAAAATACAAAAGATTAGCCGGGTGTGGTGATGCACATCTGTAGTCCCAGTTACTCGGGAGGCTGAGGCAGGAAAATCGCTTGAACCCGAGAGGCAGAGGGTACAGTGAGCTGAGATCGCGCCCCTGTACTTAACTTCAGCCTGGGCGACAATGAGACTGGTAGCAAAAAAAGCAAAGTGCAGACAATGACTTGATGGACTCTGGAACCAAGTCCATGGGCCCAAGGAATTGCTGGCACAGCTTGGCGGAGTGTCTGTCCTCGTGCCAGTGGTCTGGGTGAAAGGCGTATACATCGTGTGATCCAGGACAGCTCCCCCAAGAGCCACGTGAACTACACAGGGAAAGACGCAGCCTTACA